ATTTCCACTTTTTTCAATTAAAATTACAGAATTTGTTTGATGTTCTTCCGTTAGATCGATTTTTTCGACACTGTCAGGTTGCACTGATGGCTGATTTGTCGGGCTCATGTTTAACTGATTATCATTATTCTTCGTAATGTTGTTATTTGCTGTTTTTATTGATTCTGGCTCAGTTGTTTCATCCTGGTCTGATTTTAATTTCTTTCTTTGTAATGAAATAATACCATTAAATGTTGCAGAAACTGGCGACTGGTGCGACGGTGTTGTTAACCCTAGACGTCGATTCTTATATAAGGATCTTACAAGGCACTCACAAGAAACATACAAAATCCTTATCAGCTTTTTATAAGTTTCTGATAAGATTCTTACAAGATTCTTATATAAGATGTTGCACGGAAGTGACAAGAAATTCACTGGTTCTGATAAGAACTTATAAGATATTCATAAGAAAGTAACAAGCCGTCTTATCACTTTCTTATGAATATCTTATAAGAATCTTATCAGTTTCTTACCAATTTCGTATGAACGTCTTATAAAATTCTTATCTGATTCTGGCAAAAAAAGTTTCGTGATTTTGCAGATCCAGCCCATACTCTTGTGTTTCCTTATTCAATTTGCTGCTTTCACACCTGAATAAAATTTTCTTGATATTGATTTTCTATAATAAGTTCTAACGTAAGTCGCAGGTGGGCAGTCAAAAGACTCACCCTCATGGCCCACTGTCTGCAGACCGGATGTACTTGTCCAACTTTATTGTGACAATTGGAAAAGAATGAAGTTCGATAAAAAACATTGTGTGACAAGAGAATACAGGGCACGACATCTCGCTCATTTGCATAAAGTCCGCCTTTTCATACTGATCTCTAGCAAAATGCACCTATTCAATAGTATAAGAGATTGAAATGGTTTTCAAGCACGGTAAGAACAGCTGAACAAAGTAGCAAATTGAAAGGAAACACAAGGGTATGGACTGGATCTGCAAAATCACGAAACCTTTTTTGCCAGAATCAGATAAGAATTTTATAAGACGTTCATACGAAATTGGTAAGAAACTGATAAGATTCTTATAAGATTCTTATATAAGATGTTGCACGGAAGTGACAAGAAATTCACTGGTTCTGATAAGATTCTTATAAGATATTCATAAGAAAGTAACAAGCCGTCTTATCACTTTCTTATGAATATCTTATAAGAATCTTATCAGAACCAGTGAATTTCTTGTCACTTCCGTGCAACATCTTATATAAGAATCTTGTAAGAATCTTATCAGAAACTTGTAGAAATTGTCAAAAATTCTTTCTCTAGGGAATGTGAAATCAGTTGCCACTGCTGCTTCAGCGGTTGTTGTTAGATGAAGTTGTTGCAAAAGTTCAAGTGATGCTTTTGCTGTAGCCGGCGTTGTTGTTGCGTTTTACGATCATTAACGTTTTTTCTATAAAACTGAGTGTGTCTGCTCGTTTTTTTTGGTCTACCTCGCGGATGAACGGTACGTTGAATGGTAAATAAAGTTTTTGGTACCGCATCCGCAAAATTAGCTTTTGGTGAGCTTCTTGAAGGCGAAGATTGCGTTTTTGACTCTTGTTTTAGCCTTGGAAGGAAACGAGAATTATATCAAATTAATCTTCAGCTTGTGCCAAAGACGCTTATTCTCTCCTTAAGGAGGATCCTCAGGAAAATGTTTTAATAAATGATAGTCGGTGTAAGATCTAAGATCTGGTAATCTTTTTCTTTATTTAAACATGGGAACGATTTGAAGATGCTTACACATACTAAAAATCCGTTCTCTGCATTATTATTAATATATTCATGATCAGTATGACCGAAGCCCTTTCTACGGGTGGCAGTATTCTAAGCGTGCAAGCTCCTACTATACATACCGTTGCTTCTTGCTCAATAAACTGTGGAATTTCTTTAATTCGTTGAGGCGTTCGTAAAATTCAGGTGTACCTAATTGAGTTAAATAATTATTTATTACATGGAATTGATTCCAAGATAATCGATTTTTATCTGCCACTGTCAGGACAATACCAGTTTCACATTGAGTCATCGATGATTTTTCATCATTATCGAAGTCTGATTGATTATCTGACCAAGTACCATCATCAGCATCACTTTTGTTTGTTCTTGTTGTGCTGTTCATTTGTTGAATAGGATCGAATGAAATGTTGCTGACAGTTGAATGCTGCAACCATCTTGGAGCTATCAGCGTATCATCAACCTTGAACTGATCAATATGTTTCATATAGAATAAGAGATGCAGACACGGTAAAGACATAGTGCAATTATAATAACAAGAAGCGATTTGTTAATTCTGTACGTTTTATTTGTCGATAAATTCTGAATCAATATTATGTTTTCATCTTCATCATCAAGCAAATCGGTAGAAGAAATTTCTAATTTTGCTTTATCCATCAAGATCAACTGGTTATTGACAAACTTGCAGACGAAATCTATATACGAAAATAAAACACGTTCTGATAGACTAATGGAAAAAATAGACTAACAGACTAATGAAACTTTGGGACAACAGAATTAGAAAGTAGCATTATCGATAGATATTGCTCACCGCTCAGTATTCTTCCACATTGCTCAATAAATTCGGGATACTTTGAATTGACAATACAAAACGACGTTAACTCTT